CAGACGGAACCCCCACCCCCCCAGTCAGCCAGCCACAACAGTGTGAATTCCTCAGGGAGGTGCCAGTCTCATCCTCTTGTAGTTCCCACGCTCAATTGGCGAGCTAAGAAAATGCTTATCTCCCTGAGCCTGGCCTTCATAATTCCATTCCATAACAGGTGGGTGGTCAATAAAGTCAAGGGGGGGGCAGCCATTGTGTGCTCAGAATCACCATTATATCTTCTTTGACACCCCCATCTGCAGATGATGTCCTTTATATAATACATGAGTCTTTTCCCTTGTTTAAAATTTATTCATTTATTATTATTATAATTTCAAGAAGAAGCAAAAAGGAACAAAGCTGATAGAAGTACATATTTAAAGGAATATAGAAAACAGAATAAGGAAAGAAAACACAGTAATATAAGTAATAGGATACAGGTGGATAGCCAACAAATTCTGATTAACTAGCAGATCAAAGATATCCTATTTTAGTACACCATTAACAACTTAGAGTACCATAAATTATTTCATACCCAATTTTTGATCAAGAAATGCCTCTGTTGAATTGTAAAAATGCCTGGTTAGCATAACGAAAACCAATAAGAGAAAAAAGCAAAGTTTAAAGAAGTATTTTACTGAACTGAATTTGCTTTTTTTAAAAAATAAATGAAGCTATAACCCCTAATTTTAGTGGTTTTCAGAAATAATTAAATTTATGAAGGATAGGTCAGTAAAGAAGATTTGAATTAAGTCATGTTTTTTTATTAAATTAATAAGCTTATAACCTGTGATTACTTTCCTGTTATTTTTTAATTCTCAAAATTCTAATAAGCAGCTACCACCTCTTAGCTATTCTTTTTTTTTTTTCTTTCTGCTGTCCAGACCTTTGTCCTGTTTCAGTTCTTCATAAGATGAATATACATAATTGTTAACTAGGAAGAAATAATTAGTTTAATGGGCTAATACAACTACAAAAAAATCATCCTTTTTTAAAAAACAAACTATTCTGTTGTTAAGACTTCTGATTTTTTTAAAAAAATCTATATTAAGCTGTTTAGATAAATGTGCTTAAAGTATTAATGATTTTCAATATTTTTTTCTCCACTATTTTCTTGCTCTTCTTTCTTTAATTTTAGCATGCAATGAAACATACACCTTCAAAAATGGGGGTAAAGAAAATGGAGAAAAACTTTCTTTTCTATGAGTGGAAGAAACTTGGGTCATCAACCAGACTAAAGCATTTCTCTTTGCTATTCAGATTCCATCAGGATATTATCTACAGACAATGCATTCAAATTTGAATCTGAATGGATTTCTTTTGCCAATCGCTGCCATGAATTTAATAAGCATCTTACCATTTTTAATTCTGGCTCCTCTTCTCGAGTGTGTCAATGCTTGTCTGTTGAATGCCAAAACAAGTGGATGGTATCCTATGATCTGTATTGGTAAGTACTAAAAAAAAAAGTGCAAATTGTCATCATTTTTTTTCTTTCCCTTGTCAATTTTATAATGCTTGTGAGCCTCCTCTTTATTATAATCTGCTTCTTTATTATATATTTGCTTCTTTTCCTGATTATATATATAAAATCATTTTTTTTAAATGAAAAGATGCAAACAATGCTTATATTTCTAAAGAAAAGCTATTGCTTTTGAGGATATTGGCATCCAAAATTAATGAGGTGATGGAGAGTATCTCATGACAATACTGGACAATATTAGTATTTGTGAATCCCTAGCTATGCATCATTGGAGAACTTCATTATTAAATAACTATTAAATAATTTCTAGTGATTAAATAATGTATGTGTCAAATTGAGGAAATGTTATGATTATTTTGCACATGTATTTTGTCAATTTTCATGAGATTCCTGTAAAGCAGTTTAGGCCATGATGTGCTGAAATATCACTCCACTTAATACTGCTGTTTGCAAATTCAAAGTAGAGTGATCTAAGGAAGAAGGTGCCCTTTTTATGGCCCAAAGCCAGCAATAAAACATTCAGAAGTTAATTGCAATGTTATAAATCAGACCTGGGTCTTATGGGAAACTAGTTGACTTATGAGGTCCCAAACCAGAGACCTGTTCCCACAAGAGCACAAAGTTATCATCAAAATTGTTTGAGAAAACTCATGATTGAGCAGAGCTCTAAGCTGGGATCAAGATGGTAACCTGCCAGATGCCATTTTGCAATGCTGTGGCAAAGGCAACATTAAAACAAGGTTCTTCAGTATCTGTCCAGGTAGGTGACAGCATCTTGGAACCTTAAAAAAAGCTAAGCAGGTTCAGATCTGGTTAGTGTTTGGATAAGCAACCATTAGGAAATTCCAGAGCTGTAGACCAATTGAAAAGTTGAAAAAAACTTCCCGGAAAAAAATTATGGTGAACCACTTTCATATCATAGCCAGGAAAATTGATATGCCAATGACTTCATTAGATAGCAATGCCTGGCCAATCTGTCTATACTTGGAAGCTAAGCAGGTCAGGGCTTATTAGTACTTGGATGGGAGACTGCTAGGAAATCTCAGGGCTGTAAAGCTGATTGGAAAGTCAAAAAAAGTTCTCAGAAGATAGCAGTGGGAAATAATTTCCATGTTGTTGCCAAAAGACCAATGTGGATGTACTGAAGTATTTACCAGGAAACAGACTTGATTTGAGGGAGGGTTTACCTTGATATCAGTATATTGGTTCCTAAACTAGAGCAAAATTTCAATATTATTTTCTAAAGACTATCCAGGTTCTGTTCACTTCTTTTATTGGCTCCACCAATTTTTTGGAGTTTAATGCACAGTGTTGCCTTCAGAACACTAGAGGGTCTTCTCCAGCTCAAGGTAGAGGCAATTATAGAATCCTACGGTTGGGAGGGACCTTAGAGGTCTTCTAGCCCAACCTCCTGTCTAGGGTGGAACCCTCAGACCATCCCAGACAAATGGCTATCCAAACTTTGACTGAAAACTTCCAGGGATGGTGTCCCCATTACTCCCAAAGGCAGGCTGTTTCACTGCTTAATAGCTGTCAAAGCCAAGAAATTCCTCCTTATTTTGAGTTTTGATCTCTCTCTGTAAGACTTCTGTAAGATGATGAGGGTCTTAGAGGCCCGTTGGTTCTTGTCTTACCCTTGGAGAATAAGTGCACATTCCTCTTCCCTGTGACAGCCCTTCAAGTTCTGAAAGTCTGCTAGCATGCCTCCCCTTGATTATGATTGATTAATTGATTGATTGATTATGTGCCATCAAATTGTTTTTGATAGATAGATTTTCTTCATGACAATCTGTCCCTAACCTGGTCTTTCAGGTCTTCTAGCAGCACCCCCATTGTCACTGTAACTGAGTCCATCCACCTTGCTGCTGGTCACCCTCTTGTTCACTTTCCTTCCACCTTTCCCAGCACTAGAGTCTTTTCCATTTCCATTCAGTAATACTTTATTGATTAGCCATTAGGCCATATCACAATACAAAATATAAAACACAGAACAGTAATAAGGCCATATGTTAAAAATAAAAAGAAATAAGTCAAAGAAAATGCAAATCATATTTCCGTGTTACCCCTACAATTTACCCCAATCAGATCCATATATGCAGTTCTCAACTGTACTGTTTTGTTCAAATAAAAGGCCGTATTATATGAGCCTTTTCCAGAGAGCTGGGTCTTCACATAATGTGTCCAAAGTAGGATAATTTGAGCCTGATCATTTCTGCCTCAAGTGGGAACTCTGGGTTAATTTGTTTGAAGATCCATCAGTTTGTTTTCTTGGCTGTCCACAGTATTCTCAGGAGTCTTCTCCAACACCAAAGTTCAAAAGCGTCAATACTCTTCCTATCCTGCTTTTTTAAGGTCCAACAACATACATAATTTGAGCCTGATCATTTCTGCCTCAAGTGGGAACTCTGGGTTAATTTGTTTGAAGATCCATCAGTTTGTTTTCTTGGCTGTCCACAGTATTCTCAGGAGTCTTCTCCAACACCAAAGTTCAAAAGCGTCAATACTCTTCCTATCCTGCTTTTTTAAGGTCCAACAACATACCCAGTTCTTTTAACTTTTAATCACTCTTTATAGGATTTAGCCTCTAAGATCCTCATCATCTTTGGTGCTCTTTTCTGTACTCTTCTCTTTCCTTCTCGCATTGTGGTGACCAAAACTAGACACAGTATTCCAAGTGTGATCTGACTACTACAGTGTAGAGTGGTACTATCACTTCCTGTGATCTTGACATTTTACTCTGTTGATGCAGCCCAAGATTGCATTGGTTCTTTCACCAGTTACAGCACATTGTTGGTTCATGCTTAATCTGTGATCTACCAGGTCACCCAGAGCTTCTCACAAATGTTATTGCTGAGCCAGACCCTTAAACCTGTGCACTGGATTTTTCCTACATACATTTTTCCTTCCATGATTTCTGCATCTTAATTTCTCACCACTGAATAGTGTTTTGTTGGAGAGGGCCTGATGTTCATGTCTATTCAGATCCTTTTAAACCTTGACCATGTCTTCTGAGTTGATGACAATCCCCCGCAGCTTTGTACCTTTTGCAAATTTGCTGAGCAACCCTTCTATCTCCTTTTCTAAGTCATTTATACAAATGTTATATGAATGTTGAAGAGCACTGAGCCCAAAACAGAACCCTGAAAACCCCACTGCATTCCTCCTCCTATGTAGACATGGATCCATTAAGGACCACATGTTGAGTAGAGTTCTTCAACCAACTGCAAATTCATCTCGTAGTGAGACCTTCCAGCCCATATTGTTCCATTCAATTAGGGAGGAGGCTAAGGTCAACTTTATCAAATGTTTTACTGAAATCTAGGTACACAATAACCACAGCATCCTACTGATCTATTAAATTAATCACTTTATCAAAAAAAGCAATAAGATCAGTCTGGCACAACTTATTTTTAACAAACCTATGCCAGCTTCTGGTAATCACCTTGTTCCTTTTTAAATGCTTGCAAACCCACTGCTTGATTATCTTTTCTAGGATTTTCCCAGGTGTTGATGTCAAGCTGATTTGTCGGTAGTTTCCTGGATTCATTCATTCTGAATCTTAGCCTTCCTGATTCTATCCTTACAGATTTGGGCTATTTCCTGCAATTCTGCTTTTGTGATCTGCCCCTCTTTCCTCATTTCCAGCTAATGTCTACTTCTAAACTAGAACAGCTTCCCATTTGCATGAATGGATCCTTTGGAATACTCACCCAGTTTAAGCTACCTCCCATCTTGCAGTGCATTTTAAAGCACGCGCTCATTTAGAATCAACATTTCCTGTATCCGTCCATTTAATTTGGCAGCCACATAGCATGTGGCACAGGCAGTGTGGAAAGACAGGAAGTATTAATCTGACTAGAATTAGCCTAATTAAGTTTGTTGTTAAGCTTTGTGCAAAGTAGAAGCACATGAAACAGCAGGTGGCAATTACTCAGGATTTAAAATAAAATAATGTCTCAATTGAGCTGCAGAAAAGAAGATTCGGATAACGATGCTGGCAATTCTTCCAATTACATGTTGGCCTAAAGTCTAATGATGCTGCAAAAGTTTGAAAGGTTCAGTGTTTCGTTTGGTGTCACAGAAGAGACAGTTGGTGTTCAGATTCCTCCTTTTCCAGAATCACTTTGATTGGTACAGTGCACCCAGTGGTTTGTAAACTTGCATGAATTTTTAGAAAGCATACAGTATGCTTTTCCCAGCATTTATTGGATGAGAGGGGAGGTGACATTGCAAGCACAACTAAGTCATAACAAAACTGAAGATGGACTAACCAAAAAAAAAAAAAATACTGCTACGTGAAAAGTAACTTATAGAAGAATCATTAGGACATGGAGAGAAATGGAGAAGGAAATTGTCAAAATAAGTTCTGAGAAGCTGAAATAAGGATGTATTGGTGGAATGAGGATGGTGGGAAGTCACAAGCTACCTCCTTCTCTCACTGGCTCCACCAAAGTTCTTCAGAGATTCCTGTTCAAAGCACAAATAATAATTAAGTGCAGAGAATAAATAAAGTGTTTGTATCCATATCCCTTCTCCAAGAAACTGTGATTGGAAATTAGTTGTTTCCCAGGATTAGAAACTAAAACCCTCTCCTCCTTCCCCCACAATTTTTCATATATTCCAAAGAAAGAATGTTTTTCTGCAGCATTCAGAACTGATAGATTGCTCAAAGCACTCCAGTATGAAATTTGGTTCAGGTCAATGCAGAGAGAATATTGTTTTGCTTTACAGAGTTACAAAATGTACGTCCCTTTCTAGAAGAGTAAATGCATGGCTAAAAACAGAAGCTATTCTTGGCATGGCTGCTGCCTGAATAAATAGAAAAATCTGTTGAAACTTGTGGACAATGAAGCTCAGGTGTGTGTAGCTCAGGTGCAAAACACCTGTTCACACCTGAGTGCACTACTTGGTAAAGAATGGGCCATAATTTCATAGTTCCAATGTGTATTATAGATGCCTAAAGTAAGGCATTGTGTTGGCCCAAAATGATATATTAATTAGTAATCTTAATATATAATGAGCGGAGCTAAAAGTATTGGTGTGAGACATTGTGAGGAGGCTGGGAAAGGAATGGAAGGGACAATAGACATCAACAATCAAGAGACAGAAGGTGAATCTGTTGGCAGCTTACTCATAAATTGGCAATGTGGCCCAGGTGGCAAGAAACCTGGGGAAAAGCATTTCAGATCTTTCAAAGAGACTCCACCCCAATGAACTCGGCCTCTTGTGGTTCCCAAGATTCTGGGTTTACCCCAAGGAGCATTAAAAGTACCGACTGAGACTATGTGGTTTTTTGTTTTCTTGATCTAACCCGCTTGACAATTAGGCTTTGTTTGGCTTTCTAAAAATTTAATATTGCTGAAAATAGTCCTCATTTCTAGAACGTTGCTCCCTCTGTTCAGCTGCCTTCTGAGAGACATGTCATTTATACGGCCATCAAACACTTAAGTGGCAACATGACCCGCTTGATCCATGTAGTTTTCTGAAATGACATTCATTGATGCAAAGCTGCCATGTAAAACCTTTATGCCTTCATCAGTTAGAGGAGCAAGCCAGCTGATTATTCTAGAAGAAGAGTTTTCAAAATCTGTAAAAGCGATGGCTACAAAAATGCTTGAGGTGTAGAAAATGTACCTCCCCTTTTCCCCATAATAAGCGATGCAGATAAAATACAACTTCTTCAACTGAAGAGATGGTAAATGAAAAATGCCTGGTATAAGTTGGGAATTAAGATAGCAAATATTTAGAAATTTTTTTTTAAAAAAATCATTTTTCCCTCAGCATGGTATTTAGATTACAATTTATAATGTATATATTTCCATACAAAATGAATTGTTCTTTGTGTTTAATTCTCAGTTGTAGGTAACACGTCTGCTGCCCTTTCCATGGCTGTTGCGGGGTTCTTTGAACTACGTAGGAAGCATTTTCCTCTGGTTGAGCAGATACTTTCAGGCAAAGCTCTCCTCGTTTCCTCTATGTCGTGCCTCCATCTGGCTCCACAGTACCTCTTGCTCGGTGTGGCAGAAACTCTGGTGACTCCCACCTGTAAGATGCTTTCTCTGTTCCCTTTCTTCATCTTCAGATCAACTGACTTAGACCCAGAAAGACTTCTGTTTGACTAGGGATGGCTGACGGATTCTTTTATTTGTGTCCTCACCCTGGTGTTCCTCTACTACATTTCTGGGCAGCCTTATTTATGATTCCTACAGACAGAGCTTTTATTAGTCATCCTTGTGATTATTGCTCGCTCAAGGATAATGCTCTTTGTGGTTGGGAGAAGTGTCTGATTTATGGCTCGTGGTGGGGCTCTCCGTTCCTTATATGTGATCAAAGGAGCTGAAGATCAGGTTAACCTCCTTCATTTCTTCAGTATACTACAAGACCCAGGATGCTCCTTTCCAAAATCAACCAAATAGCCCTTTCTATGAGGGTTCAGTGGCAATTTTATGGATGGAGGACTTTTCAGCTGTCTCCCTCGCACAGGGCCAGTTTGCCCATTTCTAATCTGTGGAGAAAGGAAAAGTGCCATTGGAAGCCCAGTGACCAATGAAGCAAACATCGTATTCCCTTGATATAGTCCTGCCTCTCCCCTTCCCTTCAGAACACAAAACTATGCTTGTCTTGCAAATATTGCATTGCTGCAAGTATGGGGCTAGAGCAAAAACATCCCTTCCTATTTATTTGCTGGCTGCATTACGTATCCTGTCTTTCCTCCAGGACCCCAAGGCAACATACATAGGAGATCTGTGTAAACTACAAAAATGATTCCAAAGAAGTGCTTCAGCAGGCTTCATGTCAAAATAGGATCACTTTCTACTGTTTGTTAAGATACTTGCCTTTTTAAAAAGCTTCTGCATGGACTTTGGGAGGAAAACGTGAGTGTTCCTTAAAGGAGCGGCATCTTTTTTTCAGGATCATGCAGAAGTCTGGAAAAAAATCAGGCTACTTTCATGAATAGTAGAGAGGTGCTGCTTTTGTCCTGTTTGAAGTCCAAAGCACTTCTTCCAAATCATTTTTGAAGCATGCAAAAGCCCTAATATGTAGTATTCTCTTCTCCATGCTTATTGTCTTATCAGCCCTGTGGCTAGGATGGGCTAAGTCAGTGTTTCTCAATCTCAGCAACTTTAAAATGTGTGGACTTCAACTCCAAGAATTCCCCAGCCAGCATGTTCCCCACTCAGTGTTCTGGGAGTTGAAGTCCACACATCTTAAAATTGCTGATATTGTGAAACGCAGGGCTAAGAGATAGCGATTGACCCCCAAAATACCGATTGAGCTTCTACGGTTGAGGATGAGTTCCAGGCTAAGTCTTCCTAGTCCCAATCCACCTCCCTAACCATTACTCTAGCCTGGCTCTCTTCATCCCCAGTGTAGTTCTCCTTCATAACTATTTTTTCCCTTGCTTTGCAAAGGTGCCTTCATTACATTCAGATTTCTGCCAGGCCAAATTCGTGGGGTTGCCATGCAAATCTTAACCTTCTTCAATGGAGCTGGCTGTATCATGGGGGCCTTCCTTATCCAAACAACTTACATTGGTTCACAAGGTAAAGTATCCTGTATATATAGGCTGTGTCTGGATCTGACTATTCCTTTGTATTTTTTCCTATTATTTTCTTGCATAGGGGACTGCCATTTAGTGTCTGTCAAGTGTTTTACTGTCAAGAAACGTGTCAGTTCCCATTCACTTGAGTAGGAGCAGATCATCATGAGATCTTTTTTGGTGCCTGTCTGCACATCCAATCTTCCTCAGCTTCTATTCCTATCCCATCTGATTCCGCTGTACACCGTAATGGTTATAAGTCCTTGTGCAAGTGCTTTGTGTATCTACGCATGTATGATTTAATAAGAACATAGAAATGTCAAAATAGTAAGTTCTGGTAGCCTTTTAGTATTATCTGCTATGCTATACTATGCTATTTAATAACAATGAAAAGGCAGTTATTTATACATTTGTTAGATTTATGTCCCATCTTTCCTCTAGGAGTTCAGTTCAGGGTACATTCCATTCCTGCTTTTTTTTCCCCAGAGCAGGAAATTTATGGGGTAGTTTGGCCTGAAAGAGAGAGACTATCCCCAAATCAATCAGTGAGCTTCCATGGCTGAGGGGGACTAGAATCTGGGTCCCCATAGTCCTAGTCAAACACTTTAATCACACCACCACATTGGCTGTATTTGTAGCTACATCTTTATTCCCTCATGTCACCAAAGACCACCTCCACCTCTCAAATCAAAATGAGAAAAACGAAATAGAACATTCACATCTTTGCATGTTATTTTTTGTCCTCTTCCTTGCCCTCCACCTCCTTCCTTTTCATCTTCTTCTATTGCTGCCTAGCTTATTATCCCATTATGAAATGAAGATAAATAGATTGATAACCAAAGGATAACAATCAGATGTGAATGCTTGGTGAAATTCCTGTAGTGATCTGTTGGTAATTCACCAAAAATGTTCTTGCTGCCAAAATGAAGATAGGTGATTTTCCCTCACCCCCTTTTCTTAGTAGCTATTCTTATCCTCTTCCTATTGACCATTGACATCCATTAGAAATGTGTAGCAAAGTCTAAGTACCTGCAGTGAATTGATTTTTTTTCATGATTAAGATGGGTCACTAAGCTACGGCTGAATTCCTCAAAATATAATGAATCATTCCAATTTTGAAAGGTGGAATAATTAATGGGAGCTGTTACAGGACTCCTTTTTTTTAACCTCTTCTGAAAATGAATTAAGAGTCCTTACCTTACACTATAAGAGCATAGGGTGGGCAAAACTAAAAACAAAACAAAAAAGTATTTCAGCTATTTTTTTAGAAATGCTTGTGCTGTATTTCAAAACATTTTCTCCAGAATGGCTTGTTGTAAGCACTTAAGATTATAAATATCTAAAAATATTATAAATAATATTTTAAAAGAACAGCATAGAATATAGTCAAAGCAAGAAATAAACACAGAATCAACCACAGCACAAATTTCAAGGGGAAAATATATAGTATTAAAAACAAAAGCATGCTTTCATTTAAAACAGTCTCTGTTTATCCTAGGACAGCTTGACATACATTTTCAGAAAAACATTTAGATAATCATTAAATGCAAATAAGAGTAGAGTCAAATGTTGTTCTTTAAAAAGTTGCAGAGATCAGGAGATACATCGGACGTGAACTGATCTTGTGGGATTACCAGTCTGATTGGATCTGAAGAAGGCCTTTGTGGAAGGCTTCTTAAGGACAGCTGGATTTCATGTAAATGCAGGCAGTCCTTCAACTCATAAAATTCCAGATCATTGGGTCTTTCAAGTCAAGACCGGTATTTTGAACCATGGCATTTAGAGAAGAGACAGGAAAAACCAGTACTAAAATTTGTGTGATCTGCTTGTTTGTAGGTTAAGAATATTGGGTGAATCCAACCATTGTGTAAATCATGGTTTATGACAAAATAAATAACATTTGAGCGGTCAGGGATTTTTCAGCTCGTTCTCCTAAAATTCCTGGCCATAGGAAGCCAACCTATGATACAGTGGTATCACCAAAAGGAGTGGAACAGAACTTTTGATTTTTTTACCAGAGCTTTAATGGTAGGAAATCACCTGACTTCTGGGCTGATTTTGGACCATTTTTCATTGCATGAGCTGGTATTTTAAGGAGGATAATAGAGCACTTCCATTCTCACCCTTAAACCCAAAATTGGCCTGAAAAATGGTGATTTGGACCAGTCTTAGGCTGGTCTTGAAAAATATGAAAGCCCACACTATCAAAATTAAATCACTTTGGCACAGGATTTTGGTGGCGTAATCTTAGTTCTGATGGGTCCATGTGGCCAAAAAAATCATGAGTTCTCACCCCCTTTTTTTAGTTTAGCATATTATACAAATATGGACACTTGTGTTTTATTCAATAAAGAAGGTATGCACATTTTTTCCCATTGGAGGGCCACATATTACCTTTGAATGGCATGTTGTAGGCAATAATTTAAAAATAGAAGATCAAGTCAGGGCAAAACTAAACATTATTTCACTTAACCCAAATTAAATATAGTTAGCATGATTACTCTTCATCATGCATTTAATAAGAATCACTATTTGATAGCAATTTTGAAAGTAATTTGCAATAACAACATAGTAGCCTCTCTTGAAGTTATACTGCAAACCTCTACAACAAACCATGATTAAGAAAACGGGGACTTCGTCTAACTAGGGACACAGTCATTTTTTAATTTACTTGAGAATTGAGGATTTATGTTCATCTTACTTATTTTTCATAGTCTTTTTTTTTTAATATATTATCATTCCTTATCCCGTTTTCCTTCTTTTTCTAAATTAAGGTGTCATTTTTATTGCTCTCCTGATTGCAAAATGTTGCAGTCAAACACTTTCTTGAGATGCCAAGAAATCACGATGCATTCTTGCCAGTGGGCATGGGCATAGTAAGAGTACGTATCAATGGCAGATTTCACATGCTAGTTAATGTGGTGCCATTTTGCTGGGCCTGTTTTTAATATCATTCAATGGTGTGATGCTTAGCCCTGTTACACTTGAAGGAACATATAAAATATAGGTGGAGGGGAAATGTTTGTAGAAGTTATTGCAGTCATGGTTCTAATCCAGACTAGAACCAGGCAGAAGTGGGTTTAAATTCTACTTTGTCATGAAGCTTTCTAATAACCAACTTTCAGCCTTAGGATTTAGCCTTCAGTGTTCAGGATAATAACCATCTTTTAGCCTTAGGATAGGGAACTTGTGCCATCTCAGATGATGATGAACTATAAGTCCCAACATCCTTTATCACTGATCGTGTGTTCAACAGACAGGGACTTCAATATCCGAAGGAGTGCAGGTTTCCCACCTACATCTTAGCCCAATCTATCCCACAGGTGATTGTGAGAATAATATTTGTCTGGAAGAAAGGTGGGATAAAAATCTAAATATATTATTCATATCTCATAAGCAAAGAAAGATGCCCCTTATCTAAGTCAGAGGCTGATCTCATTTTTTTTCAAAGCCCATACTGTAAAACGGATTCAAAAGATGCTAAATATTACAATAACAACATTTAATAATGTTATGTTCTAAAATTTCTACCCCATCTTTCAATGGTTAATTGTCCTTTTAGGTATTTTCAAAAGATTGTAAAAATACAAATGTGTCTTGGTATATCGTAAGTGTTGTGGCCAAAACCTGGCTCACCTAAATGGTAGTCAGTGAAAATTCACTGAAGCTTAAAGAGATTAAGAACTTGGACAAAAGTTAATAGATGTTTAAAAGCCTTGGAGAGTTAAAATGTCTTCATCTGGTACAGAAATGATAGCACAGGGGTGATAATCTAAACCACTGTGTACAGGGCATTCCACATTGTTAGTGAGATCTGAAGATGATCTACAAATGCAATTCTTACTATGGAGTTGGAGTGTTGGTCCCTGAAGGGTCTTTTTTTTATTAATCTATTGTATTATCTATTCTATTTATCCCATCTTTTATTAGTTATATATCCCACCTTTATTTGTACAATTCACAGCAGTATACATAATGCTCCCGCCTATTTTCTCCACAACAACAACACTTTGAGGTGGGTTGGGCTGAGAAAGAATGACTGGTCCAAAATCACCCACTTGGCTTTTGGGCCTAAGAGAGAACTAAAACTCATGTTCTCCAAGTTTGTAGTCTGGCATCTTCACCATAACACAGAACTGAATGTTAATGATTTAGAGCTCCAACCTCACACAATCCTGCATGAAGAAAAAGCTTTCTGCAACCTGTATAAATCAATTAAGGAGAGGAAATTTCTTTCTTTCCTAAATATATGCCTGGGTTGTCAGATGCTTTGCATAACATATTCTACTTTTCACATAAATAAGAGATACTGGTGTACTGGAGCTTTGTCTCCAACCATTGGAATTCTTTTGTGAGATTCTAGAAGTTGTTTGCCATATAGTTGTAATTATATGGCAGTATAATTATATAATTATATAAACAGTATAACTTCTTCAACTGTCATAAGAGCAAGAAACTTTATCGTCATAAGAGCAAAAATGTCCAGATTCTATGTTTGATATGGGATTCTGTGATTTTTCTTAAGATAATAACATGTACATCACTGAGATCTAATTTTCTGTTTAAAACATTCTCCACTTTGCTTGATTTCAGTCATGAAGCAAAATGAGGTGATTTGGTTTCATTCACATAACTTTTTCTCATATGTTCATGGGGCAGTATTAACTCTCATGGCCTCTTAGGTAGAACAAATGTGCCAGTCTTCCTACAGAGAAGACAACTATTCCACCCTGGAGCTATCTCAGTATACTTCCAAAGGTTTTATGGGTGCTTGCTTCATAGCACATATAGGTATAATTGAAAAAGCTCCATGGGCATAGATTAGGGGTGGACAGCTTTTCAAGCCAAGCGCCATGAACCAATGATGTCATGGGTAACAGGCATGGAAACTTTGCCTCTTTTTGGGGTGGGGGAGCAAAACAAAATAGTAAATTGTGCCACCCAAAACCAGCAGTGTGTGATCTTGGGATGCTCTGATGGGCCATAAAATGGTGTCTTGGAACC